ACTTAGTAAAGAGGAACTGTGAAGCCTTGTTTTGATGGTCAAACACTCGTCATTTAGCCACCAGGCTGCATTTGCAGACAATGCTTCGTTTTCTAGGATTTTAGAAGCATAGTAGTATTTACAAGTTGAATATTCTAGAAAGATTTCCAGCAACACAAATGACAGATAATTGAGAGCATAAGATTTGGGAGCAAAACGATGATTATGCAAAAATAAATGATGCATGAAAATGTATGCATGTTAAGTAACATGTGTTCAATATGTTTCAAAACATTTCCAATCCGGTAACATTTTTACAAAAAAGCAGATTATGAGATCTGATGATAAATGAGATCCATTCTAAACAGAATGATTTCAGGAGTGATCCTACTTGGGCCATATAATCATATTTGACTTTATAATTTACTCACTTTTAGATCCCAATCGTTACCACGCACATCATTATGCTTTCGTCAGAGCTCTCAACATAAATAATGGATTCGTGGTCAATAATAGATAAAATAAGTTTAGTAGACATTTATAAACCTGATTAACTGAACCGACTGCCAGGATGCTTGACCGGCTGCTAAATATCAAACACAATAAAATGGCTCACTTTAGAATACATCTACAGTTATGAAGAACGGATAATATTGGGTCATAAGTATATGGTCGCAACGTCTTGACGTGCAACTGAACAGCTGGCTAGAAAATTTCGAAATTAGTCGAGTTACGTGGGAAACACCTTTCGATAAGGCTGTTAGCCCCTAATAACTTTGGTGGTTGGACGGTGCTGTACATGCCAAATAGATCATACTGATAGTTTCGTCACTGACCGATTGTGTACTTATGGTTAAAATCACTATGTAAAAATAGATTTCTGCTAACCAAACATTGAGTCTTAAGACAGATGCTTCTCCTAAAAGCTAAGGAAGTAGTATAGATATTATATTGACAAATTTTTGAGGCGTTAGTACACACATGGAAGATTACGTTTTAAAAAAAGGGAATTCCGTACAGAACTGAAGTACTCCCGGTAGTTTAGATATCTGTACTTTCAGTTTTTATTAACACCGTGCTTAGGCAAATAATTAAGATGAGGCACATGAACTGTACGAACAATGAAATACTCTGATGTCAAAAAAAAATAAGATGATCTAAGTAATTTTTTGACAGCCTGTTAATCGGATCACTATAAATCAGTAGGTCAATACTTACTTGTGGGGCACCCGAAAAGCCCTTACTATTGTACGATAAATTTTGTTCCTTGAGTGAACTTATATGCGAAAAATCGTTCAAGTTGACATTTGGTATTGCATTTTCAGCATAGCTTGCTCTCGGGAAATATGGTATTTCAGAATTATTCATATTGATGACTATTTCGGATGTGTGGGTAAGGGTTAATCAGCAATAGTGTTAGTCACTCCGTATATTAAAACCATCCAAATACCTCCGTGACGGGTAACAGATGGACGTAGCCAATTGAGTTACCCTGAAGCCGCTCCACGTTTAATAGCAGCATTAGCAAATTAAAAATATTTTAGGTTCAATATCCAATTAGGTTTGAGGATCTAGTCGAGCAGGATCGCAAACATTTAGTTTGTTGGAATAGGTCTGGGTTTTAGGCTATGTTTCTTCTGAATGAAAAAGTGTTTCCTTTGTTTTATTTTTATTGAACTATGAAATGCAGGATTTAGATATGAAATTGATTGGTTGGATTAACTGAACCACTCTTTGTAATTCATTAACTACATCTGGTTAAACGTGCATCAAGCTAGATCCCTAGCCCCATCTTTTCTGGGGTTACTTAACATCGAACAGTTTACTGATTCTCGTCAAGGGTAACACCATGAAGTGACCTCTACATCGCACATAGTTTCTTCTATCTATTCTTTATAACATATTTCTGTAATAAGGTTATTTTTGATCAGTACTATCGATAAAGTAGCCAAAGAACCAAATTACGATGGAAGAGTAGACCAAGTTAGCTATTAACCTCGAAATGTGACTTAGATATGAGCTTGTGGAGATGGCAAGCTAAGAGATCATACCATTCCCGTCCAATGCAACCAGCGCCTGATCATCCACATAAATCGGAAAACTGTTCGATATTCAGTAATTTTCTTTCTGTGTGATCCAGTTATATTTCTGTGACATTTCACTGACCATACATGTGTGCTGCTTCTTGTTTTCTTTTCAAGAAATGTTCTCAGAGATGCTGCATGCTACTACAAGTGGATGGTGGACGCCATACGCAATAAAGAACGTCAGGTTCATTTTTTCGAAAGGCTTGATCAGTGCTGGAAAAGCTCGAAGACTTCATAATATGCCAGCTAAATAAAACGAGCGGAGGATGTCCCAAGATTCTTAAGTGTGTTGTGGCTAAAATTCCGATCCTGATCATTAAATAACCTCAGGTAGCAAAACTGTAGTACTGTGGTGCTGTGTTGCGAACTACTTATAAGTAGTATATAGCGTGAGTGTCAACGTAAAGTCTGGTAGCATAATATGGGGGGGAAGATCAAGAAAGGAAGAGTCAGAAAACAATGGAATTTGTATGAAACGCATGAAGAGTGACAATGGATTGATGTTTGGCAACAGGAACAGTCCAGTTCCATAGGATGAACTGATCCTTTGCAAATGAACGATTTACGATATGGTTTTCCGATTTTACTGAGTAACTCTGTATTTTTCGTCTAATACAATTCGGTTGCCCCCACCTGTGTTCTCATTCACTACATTTGGTGTCGCTGCCTGCTCGAAGGAAGGTGCCCCCGTGGCCGAAGGAGTTGCAGGACGGAGATTGGCGGAGCTTCCTGGAGGAGTTTGGGGCCACAGTGGAGCTGGAGAGGGCTTGGGGCGGAGTTGACGGTGCTGGGGACGCTGTGGGGAGGTGAGGCGAAGGCGGTGCACGACAGCCTGGACGGTGCCACCAAGGAGACGGCGTGGGAGACGGTCACCGGGCAGCTGATAATGGAGTTCGACAGCCCAGCGGACAGGGAGGAGGCGCCGCAGAGATTCCGGTTGGCGCGGCTGTCGGCCGATGGTGACCTGTTGGTGCTTGCTGTGGAGCTCACCGGATTGCGCCGTGAGGAGTGGACGGGGCACAGTCTTTGGCGTCGCAATTTATCGAGTGTGTGCCTGCCGCCGTGTTCCAGCATCGGGAACTTGTGGACGCTACACGTTGGATAGATGCCGTATCCATTCCAGACCGGTGATCAAGAAAGATGACCGAAGTGGTAATCCGGCATAGTGTAGCGTGTCACGGAATACAGAAGGTGATATTAACTGACCAGGAGCTCTGTTTTGAAGGACCACGACGACAGCTTATTAAAAGGGGGGACGAGTGTGGTGCTGTGTTGCGAACTACTTATAAGTAGTATATAGCGTGAGTGTCAACGTAAAGTCTGGTAGCATAATATGGGGGGAAGATCAAGAAAGGAAGAGTCAGAAAACAATGGAATTTGTATGAAACGCATGAAGAGTGACAATGGATTGATGTTTGGCAACAGGAACAGTCCAGTTCCATAGGATGAACTGATCCTTTGCAAATGAACGATTTACGATATGGTTTTCCGATTTTACTGAGTAACTCTGTATTTTTCGTCTAATACAATTCGGTTGCCCCCACCTGTGTTCTCATTCACTACAGTACCACCTCTCTAAAATAAATATTCATGTACACTCTCATCATTCATGGTGAGCTTGTTAGTTTTAACAGACTTTACTAACTGGAGAAACTCAGCCAACCATTATCATCAAGTCACTGCTTGATTTCAAATGAAACTCTTCGCCTATTCCAGATAACGAGTTTCTACGTTTCGAATCTCCCTACATACATTAACAATCAAATTTACTTTTCCCACAATTCATTATCTTCATCCGACTTGTTTTTCTTTGAAACAGACTGTAACTGTAAACAATTCCCCAAATTCAATAGTTCTGTAAGTTTTCGACATTAGTGCTAACCTCATCAGTTATACTGGACACAACAGCTGAACGCGCTCGGTCACGCATACTTGGGAAATCACTTTGCGCAAAGCCATGCAACGCAGCTCCTCGCATTAGCCACAGAAATTAGTTTATTTACTCAGTGACATTCGAACCGCAATTAAAATTTAGCTTACCTAATCTTTGTTCCTAACTTCTGGTATGCATTGGATTTGATACACACAAGCTGCAAGGTACTAGGGGACAAAAGCATTGTGTGAATCTAAGTATCTGTGACAACATAAAAAACTACAATGCGGTTGCATCTGAGGAAACGGAATAGCTGCAAAGTACAATATTTGAAGCGAAATTTCCAGATTATAAACATGTCAGAATACAGGTCTCAATCCGATTATCGTTATAATATCTAGGTTCCGTTAGTGAATTTCGTCCGTAAAACTGGCTCACAAATGTGTTGGACATTGTTTGGTTTGAAAAAATGCCCCTAGTCCCACTTCGGCAACTTCAACGTGGAGGAACAGGGTGGGATTGCTGGTAGCGCTGGTCGAACCACATAACAGTAAAATGATAAGTTCAGAAATGGTTTGGCCCTATTAGGTTTTGTTTGCTTTATTTGTTGAGAACGTCGATCTTCCATCTGCGTGCACAACCTTCATTAGGATTCAACTATTTGTATGTCATAGTTATCCAGAGTTCAGTTGGGTTGTCTATTCTGTCTCAACGACTGGAAAGTTCATCTGATGATGTTCTGATTTCCAGATAACTTCACAACCGACCCAGCCCTTAGATTGTAATCGAAAAACTTATATGCCCCTAATTGAACTACAGTAATTCAACAATTCTCAGCGTTCAATCCTTTAAATTTAGTTCAGCAGTCTGATGTTTGTCTATGAATTGGATTGCCCCATAAAAATTTATCAATTTATAATTATGCATTCAGACGATAAAATACGCAGGTTCTTAACGCCGGAGATTCAGGACCTATAATACTAATTCTTACATGACTGACGGCTGTACAGCAAACCGCAACGAGGACGTGAAAATTTCACAAACAAATACCTGGAAGTCTAAATAACACAATTCTAAGCTATGATTGCGGGGACAAACTTCAAAACCTAATTTCATGGTTTCCTGAAATGTGTTGGCAAAGCTGCTACCGCGCATAAAATTGAATCTGAAAGATCAAGATTGGTATTTCGAACAAGCCAAGTTTAATTATTAGGAATATGCTTATTTGAGTTAAAAAGAAGCAATATTCACATAATGATAAAATATTAATTGTCAAATAACAGTATGTTACTAGAGGCATGCCAGTTTACAGGCCAGATGAAATCCTCACAAATGCTAACACGTTTGCTGCGAAAGTTATAGCAGTTAGATTAAGTATAAGAGTCTGTTTCTGATAGCACACTTACACCATGTCACTGAGAGGAGCAGTCCGATACAGAGATATTTTCAATAAGTCAGCACAGATAAAGAAGGTGCACAGTAATGTCCTTCGGTGGTTTGCATAGACCAGGACTGAGTTTTTTGGGAATGGTCAATTTCGAAGGTGTTTGATACAAGCTGTCACCTAGACGTAGGTCAACATTTTGTCTGGATGTGACATGGATGTTCCACTGTGAATAGGGTTCTGAGAAATGGCCAAACAGAGAGAGAGAAAAAGCGGCGAGGCAATTGTATATATATATATATATATATATATATATGTATATATATATAACCAAAGCACTGCTTAATCTGTCAAGATGAAATAGAAAAGACAGTGGTAAGTCAAGATAAAATTCATATTGACCACCAAAATCAAAGTAAATTGTTGTAATACAGCCCACAAATGAAGTAGTACAGAATTGAAGGAGCAAGGGGTGTGGAGTGTGTCAAGTAGATAGAAGAGAAGTTGAAGTAAGAAGCTGAATGTCTGCACATGGTAACCGAAAGTTCAGTAAGAAGAGTAAAGTTTGTAAAATATGTCGTTAATTATATTTTTCACTGACGTTTTTGTCAGATACCAACCTCTTAGTCCTACTGAAAGTGCCTGGGTAAGTATGTAGCGGGTTGTCTTGACAGAATACCGGAAACGTAAGTCTCAGAAGTAGCGAGCGTATAGGAGCAAACTCAGTATCACTGACTAGTCGCCTCGTCAATCTTAAAGAGCTGAAAGCGAACAAAATGTTATGCCCCACAAATATGGGTGGATTGAAATCATCGCCAACACCATTAATGTTTTCTGGTCAGCAACTCCAGTGTCCAAAATTTTGTGTTGTGAGGCTCATAAAAAATGATTGCAAGATGATACTATGTTTTCTACTTGAGATCATGTTTCACATCCTATTTCTTCAAGTTCCATTGTACACGTTTATCTGCCTATTACAACTTATGAACTTTAGGTTAGGCACGAATAGAGGTAACAGTTAGGGAGGAATAAATTACGCGTTATCAAACGACCTATTGGCATTTAGAATTTAGTAGCGGAGATTTGCCAAACGAAGAAGGCAGTATCAGTGATTAGTTACATTCTCCTACATCCTAAGGACCTATGAGAAAACACGATGATCTG